GGGTGTGCACTCAGCAAGCAGGGGAGAAACGACTAATGAACACACCCTACAGAGAGACACCTAGATTGGCCTGGTTGTGAGGCCCTTGAACATTATCCATCTTCCCTTATTTTACAGCAGCAGAAATGGAGTCAAATTATTTGTATCACTGCAGATTACAGAATTCATTGCATTTCCCACACTAAAGAGGGGTCTGAGTCCTTCCTCAAAAGCTTGAAAGAGGGCACTTCTCCAAGCCATTCCTACAGGAAACCCAATCTCAACACAACTCTGCACACACATTGCATATCTTTAGCATCTTTGTCTTCCAGGTGCAGTCATCTTTCCTGGGACCTGCCTGGGGAGGGGAACACAAACATGCTTTTGAGCATAAGATTTAATCCCGCACAGAACTCTGCAGTTTTCCTACCACTGCCATTCCTCCTGTGGGGGTTATGAGGCTCACGGGGTTTCCCTGTGACTTTCCACAGAAATCTTTGCAACATAAAAATAGACTGCTCAGGCATTTAAATGCAGAGTTCTCTCCTTCTAAATTGGGGAAATCACTTTAACATGGATATGCAGTTGTGAAAAGAGGATGCAAGCAGAGAGGCAGAGCAAGGGACAGGAAGTCTGGCTCTTTCACCAACAGTAACTCCAAGACCTGGGTTTTGTGGTTGAGGACCCAGCAAATAGGCTATTCCTTGACCAGTCAAAAGAGACTCCCAAGTAAGGGCATGCCCTTTGGAAACATGGCTCAAGTCATAGATCATTAGACATTTAGAAACTGTAAAACTCAGCCCTCCTCTACTCCTATTTTATAAATGACTGGTAGAGATCAAGAGGTCCAAGTAAGTTCAATACACTCTTCAACTATCTACAAGACTAGCAGCCCCAACTGAGCACTCTTTCTCCTCCAAATACATGAAGGCTATCACCATAGGGTCCCTGTATGCCTTCCTGGTGAGCCAAGCAATGCCTCCACCCAGACCTTTCTGCTCACTCTAACTGCAGGATATGTGGGAAGAGCACTCCAAGCACCCATGAGTCTCTCCCAGGGTTAAGTTGCTCTATTTGGTGTACTCGTCTTGAAATTGTGTTCGCACACCTGATAAGAGTTAACTTGCTCATTTCAAAGACTGTGCTCATTTTGAACACTAACCAGGGTGCCATCTTGCACTTGGGCAAAGGAGGCATGTGGCAAAGGTAGAGCTGCTAGTGCCATACCCTAAAACTCCAACTAACATCATGTTGCTGGACAAATCCTCCAGACTGTATTCAGCAGGGAGAAGGACACCATCCTGGCAGGAAGAGGATAGTATCAGTGACTTTAGCTAATACACCTTGAGCCATGTGTGGCCTGATCATCAGCTTGTCTCCAAGTATTGATTATTATGGCTCTCTAGCTGAGGTAGGAAATTTCTTCCCTCCCAATTGTCAGTTCTACTGCAACCAGCGGATTCTAATCATATGCACACATTTGGAAAAGGAAAGGGACTTGGGTGAGGGAGGAAGCAAAACAAAGAAGCTCACCATATATGTAGATGCCAGCAGGACAGCATCTATAATCCAACTGCAAGCTACGGCTGAAGAGGCCCATGTGAACTGCCTGCCCACCTGTCCTCTGCCCTGGAAAGCCTTCTCTGCATAGACTACAGCTTGACCTCCTTGTCTGTGCCACTGCTTCAGCTCAGAAAATGTGTGTGTATGTTTGCTGGAGACCAGCTGGGGGAAAGAAGAGGCATAGAACTGTCTTCCAACACACAGAGGCCTTTCATGTGTAGGGAGAGGGAATAGATTTTATCTGAATGATTTTAGGGGCCCCTCACAGCTGATGGAAGCTGGAGGCAGAAAGGCCTGCTTCTAATCACACATCTCAGAGAAGAGAGAATTTCTCCTCATGGGGAAGGCTCAAGCAAAGTCTGGACTACCATCTGCCAAAGAATGCCTGCCAGAAGTGGAAGGTGAAAGGGCAGGGTGCTACAGGTCTGTCCACCCTGGGAAGCTAGGATTTCTCATCTCCCTGGGCCAGAGCCAGCCCTGTGGCCCATTGCCATTTCTTGGCTCTAGCTCCCAGTGCGAGACTAGGTTTCCTTGGGATTCTGAAAGCTTTCTTACCTCAGGGCTGTCCAATGGTCTCCCAGGGCTCCCTATTGGGTAGTGACCTTACCCAAATCCAGTCTAGCAATGGGGGTGGTGGTGGCAGTTTTCGTACCAGATACCCAGGGGAGGTGGTCTAGGCCTACCTTGTGACATGTAATAAAAACTAGAACAGGCTCCTAGGGGAATGATACATTTGGAGCAGCCTTAGGGTTCCTAGTCATATTGGAGGCTTTGAATGCAATGGCCTTGCACATGTCAGATTTGTCTGCAGACTATGCTGCACTGTTGACATGCTGGTGACAATGTCGGCAAGCTGATGGTCCATGGATGGCCATCCTTGCTGCTGCACTTTCCTCTGTCCACGAGCAAAGTTCCTTAGCATTTCTTTGATTTATTAAAGCTAAAACTGCTTTTCTTAAAATTAAAAAATATATTAAATAATACCTATTTAATAACCATAGTAAGCTATATAAATCAGCTAGGTGCTACCTTATAGTATATTCACTCTATTCAGAGTTTCATGCCTAAAGTCAGACATGTATTCACAGATATGTATGTACCAGCTGAACTTGCTATTCAAAGTAGTTAGATTATTTAAGACATTTTGAGAATCAATAAAATGCAGGGATAAAAAGGAATGGAAAACAACTGTAGACACCTGAGATAGTATGGGAGGAGGGTGGGAAATGGCAAAGGGTGAGAAATAGATAGGGGGTGTATATATATATATATAAATGAAACGAAAATCATTTCAGTAGAAAATTACAGTGCACTTGTAAGTAGATTCTAGCTTTGTCCATATTTTTAGTTTAAGGTATTTTGTGAATCAATAAAATGTAGAAAAATCATTTAGTATGGAAGGGAGAGGCAGAAAGGGGAAGGAAAAAACAAGTAAAAGTATGCTTAATTGACAAAAAATGGGAAGCTATTTGCTGATAAGTTATAGAGTAATACCTTTGGCTTGACTGACATGCATAGTATTTGTGCTGGGAAAAGATTGTAAAGATGTGATTAAGTGTAAATAAATTAATTAAAAAATGCTTTGGACACTAGAACTCAAATAAAGATGGCTGCTGATTGGCTTATCTTATGGGGGCAGTGTAAGGTAAGAATGAAAAAGAGTGGCAGAGAGCTAAGAAGTTAATTTTTTTTTTCATTAGAGAGAGAGAGAGATGGAGAAAGACAGAGAGAATAAGTAGGGTGCTCTTTGGCTAGATCTGGGGGACAGGAGGGTGAAGTCTGGGCAGAGGGTCTTTGGTGGTCCTGATCAGTGTGTGGTCATTTTTTACAATAGCCGTAGGAACTTAATACAGTGACTAATCATGTTTAAACGAGAACCAAGTGACATAATCACCAGCAGTCATTATTGAAGCACTGTGCTCTAGAGGAGAGAGTCCACAGGCAGCCATAAAGTCAAGTTCCAACTCTCACTTTCTGTGAGTGGAGCCTTCAGTTAAGTCACTTCACTTGTCTGAACCTCTGTTTCCTCATATGTAAAAGGACAGTAACAGAATCACAAACTTGGGGCCAGTTGGGGAGGTATTGCTTTACAAGGCAATCCTAGATGAGAAGGTTCCTGGTTCAGGTTGATCGACCTACCTGCATACAGTAGAGATGCCCCTCATGGGGCATCTCCTTCTGGGGAAGCAGTGATGGGAGAGGCCTGGCCTACTTCCCTAATCTGTCAGGGCTGAGGGAGTGTTAGCTATTACTCTAGTTGGGATTGCAGGGTCCCTGCTCCTGTCACTTGTTTCTCCCAGGCTGCATCTGACAAGAGATGACCCTGCAGGTTTCTGTAAACATTCATAGTCAACTGACTGTTAGTGCCTTTTCTTAACATAAGCAGCTCATCGTGCAGCTCCCAGGACCTGAAGGAATATTTGCTTCTTAACCAAGATGCTTTGCTTTTAAAAGTGCCATTGTGCATTCAGGGCTCTTAAGCGACAGAACAACTCAGCAAGAACTCCATGGTCCAGAAGGAATTCAGCAGCCTCCAGGCAGCTCTGGAACTCTTGGTATAGCTCCTAAATCCAAGAGGTTACCAGGACTTATAATATTTGAAAACCACATGCCTAAAGACTTTCCTCCCCCTCGTCCATTCAGTGGCTATTGGTTGGGTAAATTGCACCCTGGGCAGAGGGAGAGACAACTCCCACCTCCCCTTTGCCCACCAGCCCCATGTCCACCTAGATCAGTGATCCTCAGGTAACCCACCTGTCTGATAACAGTAGGCAGATGCAGAAACGTCGCCATTTCTGTCATCTTACAAGTAAATCAAAGCCTGGAGAGGAGTTCCAGGAGAACCTGGGGCCCAGTTCTTCAGTGCCTGGCAAGGCCTTGCCTGAGTTGGCCCTGCATGGGCCATCAAACTGGGCTCTAAGCACACTCATTAGCCATTCTCCACTCCCCCAGGCACACTGCCCCCTCACCCGCCCTTACCGTATCCTTCTCAAACATAGGCATACATGGCAGGCTGACCTCTTCATCTGGTAATGTTCCACTCCTGCTTCTAGGTACCCTCCAATGTAACTCTCCTCAGCTCACACTGTCCTCTGGGCCCTGCCCCACACCAGCAGTCAGCATGTTAGACTAAGATCATTATCTTGAAGACTGCCTCCCCATGGGTGGTAGGCTCCTTAAGGATAGGACCCACACTTTAACAAGTCCCCCAGTTGCTGGGAAAAATTGGGGAGCATAAAGTGTTGGTGAAATTGATAGAAAAGTGAGAGAGCTGAGGCTGGCCACTGGAGAAGCCAAATTCAGGAGTTCTCTCCAAGGCTACCTTTCATTTGTCACTTTGAAAGATGAGTATTCAGGAATTAAATGGGACAGATTTCTACCCATGACATAATCAATGTAGGACCTTTTACTGCCGAGTACAGAAACAGCCCAAGTGTAGGGAGCCCCTTGCCCAACGCATGGATTACATCTGGTTGGCCTCTGCTGCTTTTGAGGGGAGTCACACTGTTATCAGCTATTTGGACCATGCAGAACGAATCCTTGGTGAAAGCAACAATCTATGTCTCCAAAGGTCTCAGCTCATTTGCTCAAGCTCAACCTGCCTCTCTTACCAGCTATCATCCCAGAGGACCCAGCCTCCTGCCAATCAGCCCAGTCCTGGAGTCTCCAAAAGCAGTAGGGTGGCCGCTGCTCCCAGGAGCCAGGCCATGGCCACCCTGATGCAGACAGGACCTCTCATCCATCTATTTCAGGGCGGAAGGGAAGAGGTTCTCCTTGGGGACGCTCTGAGCAGTTTGGTGCTCAGGAGACTTCCCATAATACATCTAGCTGCCCTGCACATTGTGGGAAAGGACAGGCGGGCAGAGATGGAAGGAGGTAGGCAGGCGAGGACAGCCTCACCAAATGCCAGCCCTGGTGCAAAATCAAGAGTCACAGAGTGGGATCTCTGCTGTAAGAGACATTTGGTTGTGATATGGAAGGCAAGGTTGCCTGATTTCCAGCATTACCAAAGGGCATCAAGTGCACATGGCTACCTCCAGCAGACCTGGCCAGATTGAATACACATTCCCAGATAGCTCAATCTTAGGCAGCCAGCTCCCAGGGAGAGAGTGGCACCAGACTGAACAATCTTGGTGGGAAAGGTAGGAAGCAAGCTTGCTGCACAGATGCTGCCAGTTGCATGCACAGGAGGGCCAGAGAACTTGTCCCTAAGGTGATGCCCTGGCCCCCAGTGTGGCAGTTTTCTGATGGCAAAGGGATAGCCCTGGTGCTGGATAACACCATCCAATTCCTTCTATTGTGCTCACCCTGCTCGCTTCCTGGGCTTCTGGGCTGCAGCCTGTGTCACCAAGGATGAGCAGGGGACAAACTTCAGGAAAAGATGCTTGTGGCAGGCCTTCTGCCCAGCTGTAGCCTGTAAGCATGACTGTGGGCTGGATGTGACTGTGAGGCAGTAAGGGGCACAAACTGCCTGGAACTGGGAGCACTGCCTCCCAGACTCAGCCCTTATGCTACCAGGCTGCAGGATCTGGGGAGCCAGGCTGCTTCTTGTGGTCTCCTTTTTCTCCCTATCAAATAGCAGGAAGTTCCTGGTTAGACCACTCTGGCTTTCCCCAGAAGAGCTATTGCCCAAGGTCTTCCTAAGTTGTCATTGGCCAGTGTTCTTCTATGGGAGACCTGGAAGGACCCTCAGAGGCCATCTACTCCAATACTTCCACTTTACAAAAGAGTAAACTGAGGCCCAAGAAGGAAGTGTGTTTCTTGAGGTGCCCCTGTTACTTCCTTTCATCTCTCCTTGTTTTGAACTCAACTTTTGACTTGGAGATTCACATGTGGTTGTAAGAAATAATCCAGGGATCAGCCAGTGGCATGGTGATTAAGGAGCTGGATCCCACATGACTGATGCATGGCTCAAGTGCTGGACCCAGTGGCTTGAAAAATATGCTGGGCATGTTTGTGTGTGTGCCCAAAATCCCAAGTGGAGAATGGAAGAGAAAGGATTGTGGCATGACTATCCCCCTAGGAGGGTGATTTCTCATTTTCTCTCTTTTTATCTCTCTCTGGTGAGTGTACGTGCCCTTTAACAAGAAATAATCCAGCAAGATGCTTTTTATCTTTCCCCATAATGGGGCAGATCGCATATTCAAAATTAGTCCAAGATGGGGGTGGGGTGAGGAATGAGGAAACAGAAATGGCTGTTGGTTCAAAGCCAGGGCTGACATGCTTTATCCTGAGCTGAAACTGCAAAAAAACCACATTTCTTTCCTTGCCTTTTTCCTAATTTCAAGGCTACTGAGAAAGTGGATTCTGAACATCCCATTTTGCCCATTTATCTATTTGATTTCTCCCATGCTTCCTCCACCCCCTCCTTCTGCCCCCACTTTCTTTCATTTAAAGAATGGCAGGCTCCATAAATGGAAGCTACTGAGAAGCTCAGCCTCCACTCTGCTCTGGAGACCTCCCAGCAGCCATCTGCCTGCTTAGCCATGGCAGTCCACTTGGCTAAAGCATGTGAATTGTCAGTGACGGACTTTCTGTGGAACCTTCATGTCTTTCCGGTACTCCCTTCTTCCAAGGCTCCACAGATGCAAGCAGTTGTCACTGATCATCACTTATCATAAAGACCAACTCTTGTCAGGTCTCAATCGTCAGGCCTTATCCTTATTTTTTCTCAAATTCCTAAATACCAGCAAATGATTGGAATACATTTTGACAAACAACAGCATTTAAGGGACATTTTTTGGGGTGAGGGGAAGAAACTAAGTCTTCTTTCTTGGGATGGACTATTTTTTTTTGAGAGGTTTCTGCTATAGGGCGTGTGCGCTCGCCAGAAAGACAGAGAGACAGAAAGTGAGAAATTGCACCCCAGGAGGGATGGCCACACCACAAACCCTTCTCCTCCATTCTTCTCTCAGGATCTTGGGCACGCACGCACATGAACCCAGCGTGAATTTAAGCCACTAGGTCCAGGACTCAAACTGTAGTCAACTACAGTTGGGAGTCCAGCAATGTAGTCATTACACCAACTGCTGGTCCCTGTTTTGGACTTTTTTTTTTTAACAATCTCTTGAGTACTGATCACATTTCCATTTGGCTTTCCCAGTCATGGGTAGTTAGTCCACCATTGTCAGAAGGGGGCCCCCGAAGAGGCTCTCATGGTTTGCATAAATGCTACTTTAGCAAAGCTTTTTAATTCTCAGCTATAGAGAAAACCGAAGATAAATTCCGGAGCAAAACAAGATGGGCAAGAAAACTGGACTGCTCAAGAAGATAGTGCATGAGTGGGGATAAGGGTGTTGTCTCTTTCTCTTTCTCTCTCTCCCTCCTTTCTCTTTCTCTCTCTCTCTCTCTCTCTCTCTCTCTCACACACACACACACACACACACACAGATGGGCCTACGAGAGAAGAGTAACCCATACAGAACCAGGAGCTAGGGCGTTTATAATAGGAGCCCTGCCATGGTCATTCCTCCCGGCCTGAACAGTCTGGGACAGTGCTGTCTAATAGAACTTTCTGTGATGATGGGAATGCTCCAGATCTGTGCCATCCAGTATGGAATATCTATGCTGTTAAACTGTAATTAGTTCCACTGAGGGACTGGATATTTCATTATATTTATCATTTTTTGAGAGATTTTTGCTATAGAGTGCATGCACTTGCCAGAGAGAGAGAAAATGAGAAACCATCTTTCAAAGGGGATGGCCATGCTGCTTCTCCATTCTCCTCTTGGGATTTTTGGGCACGCATCTGGCATCAGGTCTGGGACTTGAAACTGCAGTTGGCTATATGGGAATTCAGTGCCATAACCACTATGCCACCTGCTGGCCCCATCACTGTATTTACTTTAAAGTTAAGTCAATAAAGCCACATGTAGTTAGTGGCTACCAAAATGAAAATGTGCAGGTCTATAATTTGCATAAGCCCAGACTAAATCCCTTGGAACTTGCCCACTCCTACCCTGTCCCCCTGCCACTTCAATTTCTTCAATGGGGACTTCCTTTCTGAAAAGGTTGCTGGGTTGCTTTCTCCCACTAAGGAATTGGTCAAACCCTAAATACACCAATTTCAGAGGCTGAACAAAAGGCACTGCCTAGGCTTGTCAAGCATCTTTTTTTTGAGGATGCAGGAGCCCATGAGCATGATGAGCATTGCTAACTGACTAGCCGGCCGCACCATACACTTGGGGTCAGCCGGGAGATCCAAGGGCATGGCTGTGTCCTCAATTACAAGGCTTCTCCATTGTGAAGGCTTGCTCAGTACCTGAGAAGTGGAAGTCTGTACAGAGCTTAGGCAAGGGAGAGGAGAAGTGAGAGGTTTTCAAGCCCTGTAACCCAGCCCCAGGTCCCAAGGAGAAAACTGAGAACCCTGATTTCCTTGGGCAGAGCTGAATGGAGATATCAGATCATAGCATCACAGAGAATTCCCCTGGATTTCTGAAAGTCCAACAACTCCTGAAGGATTTATTGAGTGGCTGCATGTATCACAAAGAAGGTATGAAAAACCCCACAGGAGCCTGCCGTCTACAGTCCAGAGCACCAACATCAAAGTAGACCCCTCTACTCCCACTTAGGAAGGGAAGGCAGGCTGACCAAGGTGGGGCCTATCTATTTTCACTCGATGACTTTCCAGAGCTCAGGCCTGCTGGGGTGGACCCCTAACTCCTATGTGGCAAACTTTGGCCTAGATCATACAAAACCAGGAAGGCTACTGTCTAAGGACCCCAAGACCAGTGTAGTGTGGGTAGGGGGATAGGAGGTGGGACAGTTGTTTCGAGGGGAAGGTTAGAGGAAGGCTCAAAGAAGCAGAAGTGGAGGGGACTATAAGGAAGAGTTGTTGAGAGTCAAAAAGACCTGGGTGCAAATCTCAGCTTTCCCATATATTGGTCATGACTATGCAGTTAATCTGTTTCCTCACCTATAAAAGGGAAAATGGAAGTAGTAATACTGCACCTGTATTTTAGGGCTGACATGGGGAAATGACTAAATGAAAAGTTAGGAAAAAAAGTATTTAGTCTATACTGGACATATTAAGGCCTTCATACAATGTAAAGTTTCTTGTAATTAAAAAAAAAAAAAAAAAAGGTAGGCCATCCCAGGCAGCCAAGGGGCTGGGAAGAGAAGGGCAGTTTTGATCAGGCCACAGCAGAAAGAAGCAGAGACTATCTCAATTAGGCAAGGGGAAGTAGAGTCATGGGAGAGGAGTCTGGGCACATAGATCACAGAGGGACTGGAAAGTCATGTCTGACTTTGGACTATAGGCTGTGAGGAGCCATGGGATGATTTGAGTGAGGGAGTAACATGGTCTGAGTTGTGCTGGAACAATATAGACAATGGAAAATCAAGAGGGAGTTTGGATGCCTCATTCTACCAGGTCACTCGGGACGAAGCCCTGGGAATTCATGGCCTTGTCCAATTCCCAGGAAGGAGGATCCCAGTGGAGCCTGATTTTGTGGTGGCATGGTGGAAAAGAGGTACCAGATGAGTTGCTAACCTACCAGCTGTCTACACCACCAAGCACTGAAGGAAACCACTCTGCAGGTCTTACCTCTATCACAGGGTTTCTCGTTTGAATTTCATGACTGAGCAAAGTCTTTGCAACCACTTAACACCAAAGAACACCAGGGACAGCTGGCTCCTATGTGAGAGTTGGGCTATGTTTTAGTCCAATTTTCTGTTGATAGCAACTGAATACCACACTAGGTAATTTATACAGAATAGAGGTTTATTTAGCTAATGGTTTGAGAGGTCCAAAGTCAAGGGGCCACATATGGTGAGGGTTTTCTTGTTGGTGGCAACTTTCTGCAGAGTCCTGAGGTGGTGCAGGACATCACATAGTAAGACAGAGCAAAAGCAGAGCATGTATGTCTATTGTTGGTGTGTCCATCTCCTTATAAACCCACCAGAAGTCAATTATGGAGACCCCATTCTGCTGACTTCATCTCAAAGCCTTT